TAGTTATGTCTGGTTGGGTCCCGTTTTGGCCGGTTGTGTCTGGTTGGATCTAGTTGTGTCTGGTTGGGTCTGGTTGGGTCTGGTTGGGTCTGGTTGGGTCTGGTTGTGTCTGGTTTTGGCCGGTTGGGTCTGGTTGGGTCTAGTTGGGTCTAGTTGGGTCCGGTTGGGTCTGGTTTTTGTCTAGTTGGGTCTAGTTGGTTCTAGTTGTGTCTGGTTGGGTCTGGTTGGGTCTAGTTGGGTGTGGTTGGGTCTAGTTGTGTCTGGTTGGGTGTGGTTGGGTCTAGTTGTGTCTGGTTGGGTCTAGTTGTGTCTGGTTGGGTCCAGTTGTGTTTGGTTGGGTCTAGTTTGGTCTGGTTGTGTCTGGTTTTGGCCGGTTGGGTTTAGTTGTGTCTAGTTTTGGCTGGTTTTGTCTGGTTGAGTCCGGTTGTGTCTAGTTATGTCTGGTAAGGTCCGGTTTTGGCCGCTTGGGTCCGGTTTTGGCCGGTTGTGTGTGCTTTTGGTGAAAGAGGGAAGTGGAGTCCAGCTTGTCCTGCCAACAGGCTGCACTCTGCTGACGGGAGCTTTTCTGGGAGTTGGATATCCGTCTCTACCAGATTAGAGCGCGCCCGGGGCCTGGCTTTAGCGGCTGTAATTGGTTTAGGTGTTGCCTTCATCTGCTGGACTCCTGCATGCTGACCCCCCCCGTCTTCCAGGACGAGGACGGTATCCCGTCGGACTTTTCTGACCCGCCTGGAGGTGGACGAAGAAGAACAGGCCCACATTTCTATAACACCTTCAGAAAACGGAGAGCTTTGCTGCGATCTTCCTTTCTGTTTTGAAACGACTTTCCAGGTAGAACGGCTCGATTTCAATGAGACGCTTAATGTTTAGGAGCTCTGGTTAAGACTCTGTTCCTCTTTTGAATGCTTTGTTCCCTAATCGGAACGCAGGGAGCTGCTCCCGTGACCTCGGCCGCCTTTGTTTGGGGGGGGGGGAAATGTGAGAGCGTCTCCGTGTCTTGGTCCATTGTGCTGACTACCTGTTTTTTTTTTTTTTTTTT